TCCACGGGCGTTACTTTTCACCCTTTGTGTGGACTCTTCAATCCACGGGCGTTACTTTTCACCCTTTGTGTGGACTCTTCAATCCACGGGCGTTATTTTTCCCCCTTTCGGGGGTGGGAGAGGATTAGTGTGGTCTTTTCAGACCACTCATCTCTAGCCCCTGCTCAGCCCTAAAAAAAACATCTCTGAAAAAAAAAGCATCAAAAAAAAATTCCCAAAAAAAAATGGCCGCTTAGGTTCCACCAGTCTGACTCAGACTGGTTTCTCCTCTTTTCCCGTGGATGGAGTTTCCTCCATTTTCTCCACTGGATTAAGAGTGAGTTGTTGAGCCTTTCGGCGCAACTTCCTCAGCTCTTTTCTCCTCGTCCTAGCCTCCTCCGACCTCCTGGAGGTTTTCGGAGTCCTGGACGTCTCCGGTTTCTCGGGGGTTGGCTTCCTCTCTGCCTTTTCCCGCTGCTGGAGTTTCCGGGCCTGGCCCATCGCCTTGAGGATGTCCCGAGGGACATTCCTCCCGAACTCCGGGATCCAGGGCCCACGCGCTTTCCTCTGCTTCTCGCAGACTGGGCAGTCCCTCCGCTCTTTACCCGGCCTTCCACACCCCCTACAGTAGGTGGTGGGCGGTTCCGGGCACTCCTTTCCGTTATGTCCGGGCTTGCGACAATTCCAGCATAATCTGGCTGGCGCAAGTCCGGTACGGCTTCTTTTTCTCGCTGGCTCATCCTCGGGGTGAGGCTCGGGGGTGAGCTGCGATTTTCTGGGGACACTCTCACTGTCCCCAGGAGTCTTCCTCTTCGGGATTCTCGTCCCGGAGGACGATCCCGACGGCCCTTCGCCACCATGTTGCAACAACTGGTGCCGCAACAAGGCCTCTTCTCCCAAGGACTTCTCAGTCCTTGGGCGGGGAGTTTTCTTCCCCGTCGGCTTCGCTTTTTCCCTCTTTTTCTTCAGGGTCGTCTCCGTCCTCGGGACCTCCGAGGACTGCGACGTTCCCTGGGGAAGAAGAGGTAAAATTTTCTCTGCTACCTTGCCTAGTAGCTGTGGATTACGCGTAAGCGCCTCCACAAGCGACTGCAGCAAGGCAGCATCATCTACCTCAGGGGAGGGGACCTTCCCCGTCTCCTCGGCCCGCTTCCCTGCACCCGGAAGTGGACCCTGCTCCGCTGGGGTGGTTGTCACGGAGGGTGGTGGTGTGATCACCGTGGTGGTGACCTCCTCCGCGATGGCCACATCCATTGGTTCCTCCTCCTCGTTGCTTCTCAGCAACTCTTGCAGAGACTCATATTCGAGCTCCGACAAATCCCGATCTGGAAGGTGTAATTCCATGAGTTCGGGTATGATTAAGTCGGCGTCACTCAAGGGTGATTCCGACTCAATATTCACTTTTCCCGTGACAGGTGAAACCATGTCACGGGTATTAGTTATCTCTTTCGAGACAAACATACCTTTTTGGGCTGTCTCAGCAGTTTCCACCGCCTTCTGCACCAACTGTTCGAGGGTAGCGTCCTTCGACATCTTTTTGGGCACAACGACACCAAACTTTTCTCACTAAGAGCACTAATAAATTTCGTCCGCTCGGGATGACGCTCGGAACGAAAAAGAATGTGTCTCGTGGCTATCTCACAGGACTTTCCGGAAATCCTGAGTGGGGGGCATAAGGGCTGATCTCAATTAAATAGATCGCCACAGGTGGTTCCCCCCAGTGTCACTTGACCGATATTTAGATATCGGCGCGCTCTTTAAATGCCTTTGATTGATCTGTCAATCATTTGGCATTTAAACTTTTCACCCCCCAAATAGTGACCCGTCATGTGGAGTCCTCTGGTGGATGAAAAGATTACTAGTCATTAACGTCATCGGTAATGTCGCTCACTCCGGGCACTTCTGTTATCCCTGGAGTGTCCTTTTCCGTCGGATGGCGCCACCAACACGAAATTCATGTATCTCTTCGGCGGTTCCGACGGGGAATTAAAAAAAAATTATCGTCTTGTCGTGGAAAACGTCCGGGACCTCCTTTTCGGCAGAAAACGCGGTCCATCCTCGGAGAAAGGGTTTTCGCCCCTTACTCACGAACTGGTCGATTTCCCTGTGGGAAAGAGACCTCCAACTCTCCCGCACGACTCTCCCCCGGGTGATGAGGAGAGCGATGTACCAGATCGCTGGAAAAATCCCTTCCTCCCGGAAAATGAACTATTCAAAGGGTGATATCTATTATATTTAAATAATAAATTTCCTTTACGGGTTACTCAAAAGTAACGACTCTCTTCCCAGTGCTGGGGTGAGTTCTTCTCCACGATCCTTTCTGAGAAAATCCTCCCGCGCCGTCCAGGCCATTCTCCCCCGGGTGATGAGGAGAATAACCCTTTAGGCGCGTAAAACTCTCCCCAAAAGTTCCATGGACTACGTTTCAGCAGAGTTTCCGTCGAAATTCCCTGTTCGTTATCAAATGGATAACGGCTTCTTGTTTTTTTTTTTCTAGGCCATACTTTTGTTACTCTTTTTTGGCGGGCCCCACGTCGGGCGCCATTTTGTAAGAGTATTTTTCCCGGGTCAACACCCCGGGATAATCCTCAAACTATTCTGGCTGCCGCCTCTATCGTTCACGATTGGGCGCCAGCCAGGTTTTTCTGGAAAACCTGACGGAAAACCAGCCGCGAAGGAATTTCGTCAACTCC